CCCTCCTGTATTCCTAGGCCAATGACCTGGATTACGTTGGGTTACCGTCGTTTGGGGCAATCAAGTCCCCGGAACCCAAGTGATGGAATCCATCCGGATCGGACCCCGGATGGGTTTGATCGAACCCATTCGGATGGAACCCATCCGGATCCGGATCTGGATCGATCGAACCCATTCGGATCCGAGTCGATCGAACCCATCCTTATCGAGCCGATCCGGATCCGGATCGATCGAACCCGTGTGGATCAAACCCATCCGGATCCGGATCAATTGAACCCATCCGGATCCGGATCGATCGAACCCATCCGGATCCGAGTCGATCGAACCCATTCGGATAGAACCCATCCCTATCGAGCCCATCCGGATCCGAGTCGATCGAACCCATTCGGATCGAACCCACCCGGGTCCGGATCGATCGAATCCGTCCGGATCCGGATCAAATGAACCCTTTCGGACCCAAGCCCATCCGGATCCGGATCGATCGAACCCATCCGGATCCGAGCCGATCGAACCCATCCGGATCCGAGTCGATCGAACCCATCCGGATCCGGATCGATCGAACCCATCCGGATCCGGTTCGATCGAACCCATTCGGATGGAATCGATCCGGATCCGAGTCGATCGAACCAATCCGGATCCGAGTCGATCGAACCCATTCGGATCGAACCCATCCGGATCCGAGTCGATCGAACCCATTCGGATCGAACCCATCCTTATCGAACCCATCCGGATCCGGATCGAACCCATCCGGATCCGGTTCGATCGAACCGATTCGGATGGAATCGATCCGGATCCGAGTCGGTCGAACCCATTTGGATCGAACCCACCCGGGTGCGGATCGATCGAACCCATCCGGATCCGGTTCGATCGAACCCATTCGGATGGAATCGATCCGGATCCGAGTCGATCGAACCAATCCGGATCCGAGTCGATCGAACCCATTCGTATCGAACCCATCCGGATCCGAGTCGATCGAACCCATCCTTATCGAACCCATCCGGATCCGGATCGATCGAACCCATCCGGATCCGGTTCGATCGAACCGATTCGGATGGAATCGATCCGGATCCGAGTCGATCGAACCCATTTGGATCGAACCCATCCGGATCCGGATTCACCGGCCCCATTCGTATCGAACCCATTCGGGTCCGGATCGATCGAACCATCAAGGTCAAAGCCTAGGCAGGGTATTCCTATGCCAATGGCCTGCATTGCGTTGGGTTACGATTGTTTGGGGCAATCAAGAACCGAAACCCAAGTGATGGGGAGTGGTAGAATGCCCCATCCCTAGAGTATTCCTAGGCCTATGACCTGGATTACGTTGGGTTACCGTCGTTTGGGGCAATCCGAAAACACATGGCCGAATGATGGGGAGAGGAAAAATACCACTTCCCTAGGGTATTCCTAGGCCTATGACCTGGATTACGTTGGGTTACCGTCGTTTGGGGCAATCCGAAAACACATGGCCGAATGATGGGGAGAGGAAAAATACCACTTCCCTAGGGTATTCCTAGGCCTATGACCTGGATTACGTTGGGTTACCGTCGTTTGGGGCAATCCGAAAAAATATGGCCGAATGATGGGGAGAGGAAAAATGCCACTTCCCTAGGGTATTCCTAGGCCTATGACCTGGATTACGTTGGGTTACCGTCGTTTGGGGCAATCCGAAAACACATGGCCGAATGATGGGGAGAGGAAAAATACCACTTCCCTAGGGTATTCCTAGGCCTATGGCCTGGATTACGTTGGGTTACCGTCGTTTGGGGCAATCCGAAAACATATGGCCAAATGATGGGGAGAGGAAAAATACCACTTCCCTAGGGTATTCCTAGGCCTATGACCTGGATTATGTTGGGTTACCGTCGTTTGGGGCAATCCGAAAACACATGGCCGAATGATGGGGAGAGGAAAAATACCCCTTTGCTGGGGTATTAATAGGCCTATGGCATGGATTACGTTGGGTTGCCATCGTTTGGGGCAACCTGTTTATGCGTTCATGGGATGCCAAGATTGACCCTTGGGACCCCCCAGCCGGGTCATTTGATCCCAAGGGCGGATTTGAACCGGCCCATGGGTTCATCCAATTCAAGAGCCCATCCCCGCTCGGCCATTCTGACCCCCCCAGCCGGTTCATTTGACCCCAAGGGCGGATTTGAACCGGCCCATGGGCTCATCCAACCCTTGGGCCCATCCCCCCTCGGTTTTTTTACCCCCCACCCGGTCCATTGGACCCCTAGGGCGGATCTGAACCGGCCCATGGGCTCATCCAACCCAAGATCCCATCCCCCCTCGGTTATTTGACCCCCCAGCCGGTCCATTGGACCCCAGGGGCGGATTTGAACCGGCCCATGGGTTCATCCAACCCAGGAGGATCCCATCCCCCCTCGGTTATTTGACCCCCCACCCGGTTCATTCGACCCCAAGGGCGGATTTGAACCGGCCCATGGGTTCATCCAATTCAAGAGCCCATCCCCCCTCGGTTTCTTTTACCCCCCAGCCGGTTCATTTGACCCCAAGGGCGGATTAGAACCGGCCCATGGGTTCATCCATCCCTTGGGACCACCCCCCCTCGGTTTTTTTTTACCCCCCGCCCGGTCCATTGGACCCCAGGGGCGGGTTTGAACCGGCCCATGGGTTCATCCAACCCAGGATCCCATCCCCCCTCGGTTATTTGACCCCCCCGCCGGTTCATTTGACCCCAAGGGCGGATTTGAACCGGCCCATGGTTTCATCCGACCCAAGAGCCCATTCCCCCTCTGTAATTCGACCCCCCAGCCGGTTCATTCGACCCCAAGGGCGGATTTGAACCGGCCCATGGGTTCATCCAATTCAAGAGCCCATCCCCGCTCGGCCATTCTGACCCCCCAGCCGGTTCATTTGACCCCAAGGGCGGATTTGAACCGGCCCATGGGCTCATCCAACCCTTGGGCCCATCCCCCCTCGGTTTTTTTACCCCCCACCCGGTCCATTGGACCCCTAGGGCGGATTTGAACCGGCCCATGGGCTCATCCAACCCAAGATCCCATCCCCCCTCGGTTATTTGACCCCCCAGCCGGTCCATTGGACCCCAGGGGCGGATTTGAACCGGCCCATGGGTTCATCCAACCCAGGAGGATCCCATCCCCCCTCGGTTATTTGACCCCCCACCCGGTTCATTCGACCCCAAGGGCGGATTTGAACCGGCCCATGGGTTCATCCAATTCAAGAGCCCATCCCCCCTCGGTTTCTTTTACCCCCCAGCCGGTTCATTTGACCCCAAGGGCGGATTAGAACCGGCCCATGGGTTCATCCATCCCTTGGGACCACCCCCCCTCGGTTTTTTTTTACCCCCCGCCCGGTCCATTGGACCCCAGGGGCGGGTTTGAACCGGCCCATGGGTTCATCCAACCCAGGATCCCATCCCCC